CCCAAAAGTACGTTCATTTAAGGGATTATTCTCATGCCTCCCTAAAGTGATATTACTAGATTTTTTAGTAGAGGATCTCTGACTCTTTATACAAGTCAGTCACCATCACATATATTGGTAGTGTGCTATCTCACACACAAACGGTCTTGGGCAAAAATGGTTACAACTCTCTCTCTCTCATCATTTGAAAATATTTTCTCGCCTTGGATGAAGGGACATCTTGCATCTATTACAATATTTATGAGCCATCGCTCTGACAAAACACAAAGTCACAAAACTTTTGATCCACCGCATGTTCTCTAAGAACACCTTCATGACAAAATACTTCACCTTACAAGAGATACACACAAAATTTCACCGCACTAATAGTTCATTAGTTATGGTATTCAAGATGAATGATCAAGCATATCAAATGCTAATTTCATAATAAGCACTTGTCAATGAAATGTTTGATAAGTACCTTAAAAAAAATAGAAAAGAGAGAAAAAGAAAAAGAAGAATACAAAATAATCTGAGTGTAGCTTAACAAACACAAGTAAGATTCTTGACACTGACATAACACTGCGGAGTGCGGAACATACACAAAATACTCAATTTGGCGTGTCGATGTAGCTTATAAATCAGGCAACTACGTACTCCACAAAAACCAAACAATACCAAACTTTTGTTCTGAAATACTCCAATTTTATTTCAAAACAATGCCATAACTTGCAATTGCTTCTTTGGGATCTTGGTAAATTACTCAAATTGGTCAAGCTATGTATAAAACTTTAATAAGGACAGAGGGTAGGAAGGGGCCTATGTCACGTGGCAAGATGAAAGGAACAAGCACAAGGAAAGCACTTATTTTGACTAAACAAGGAAAATTTATAAATTAAAAGAGGATGAGAATATGGATGTTCAGCTCAATAACGCATATATCATCTATGATCTAACCGTTGTCAAGTAAAAACCTCATTAATTGCTTGGTTGAATAATAATAATAAGAGAAGAAACATAAAATGTCTAAATTTTTCTCTCATCCTTTTATTCCTAAAAGATATGTGTAATTGTACTAAAAAAAAATGTGTATACAATAGTTATAAAAATAATTTTTTTTATAAAAACTTCTTTTTTTGGTAATATTTATAAAAAAACTTTTTAATTATCAAATCATGCCCATATGTTTAAATGCACCCAATATTACAACTATATTAAATCACATGTATGGTAAACAAGAATAAATCCTCTCATTTAAAAATTCACATGATTTGATTATATAAAAATTTTGTATCTATTTATTTCTTCATTCATTGATGGTAATTAGCTCCATCTATTTATAATGTATACGAAGAGAGAAATTCTAAAATAGATATAAAAATTTCAAATAACTTAAAATTTTAACACTAGAAGATTTATACAGAAAGTGGAGTCATTCCTTCCTATAAAGACTTAAAACTCAAAATGCTACTTCACGAACCTGAGATTTATCGTCATGCTTTTATATTGCGAAAAATATTACTTTCATTCTGTTCTGGATGGCCCAAGTACTGGAGTGGCAGCCCAAGTACTGAAGTGACCCAACTATTCAGGCCCAACCCTCAGCCTTGTTTCGCGTCAGCTCTTAGGGCTGATGTGGACCCTCACGATCTCCAAGACTGCAGCACGTCCAAGAGATACACCAAAATGTCCCACTTCGAGACATTAACCGCTAAAGACAGTCGCCATAAGCACTGTAAAGGAATCTGCCCATTTGTTCAGTACTGACATCGCCGGGTGCAGTGGTTGCAGCACTGCCATTGTGGCAGCGCCAACCACGCCTAACACTGCCATCATGGGCGTGCATCCCAAGAAAAGTTGACCCCCACCTCACCAACCCGCATCATCTTCCTTATAAATAGCCCTCATGGGGCACACCAGAAGATATCTTTTATGTACTGTTGTTATACTCATTTACTTCCAAGTCATACTCTTGTTATTTATCTGCCATTGATATCAGCTTGCTACCTCTTGGAATAAAACCTTCTAGCCTGGTCTTTACCTCAGCTAGGGGTATAATCCATATAATAACATTACCCTCAAGGGTACATAGTGGGCTCACAGAACTGAACGGTACATTGGCGCAATGGTCTGAATTACCGGAGGTTGGACTTCTCTAGCGTCCCGCTCTCCTGGGCCTGAATGCATGGATGGAGGGGAGCTTGGTTGTACTGTCTGTACGTGTCCTTCTGGCGTCATGGCCCTGGCGTGCTCCGCTCTCCTGGTGGTGACAACCATGTAGAGTTGTAAAAAGTGTCTGGCGGTTGTTTGTTTGTAAGAGGAAATGACCCGTCAAATGGATCTTTGGGTAAGAGAATGGGAATAGAAGTTTATCGTTTACCGTTCAGTTCTGTGAGCCCACTATGTACCCTTGAGGGTAATGTTATTATATGGATTATACCCCTAGCTGAGGTAAAGACCAGGCTAGAAGGTATTATTCCAAGAGGTAGCAAGCTGATATCAATGGCAGATAAATAACAAGAGTATGACTTGGAAGTAAATGGGCATAACAACAGTACATAAAAGATATCTTCTGGTGTGCCCCATGAGGGCTATTTATAAGGAAGATGATGCGGGTTGGTGAGGTGGAGGTCAACCCTTCTTGGGATGCACGCCCATGATGGCAGTGTTAGGCGTGGTTGGCGCTGCCACAATGGCAGTGCTGCAACCACTGCACCCGGCGATGTCAGTACTGAACAAAGGGGCAGATTCCTTTACAGTGCTTATGGCGACTGTCTTTAGCGGTTAATGTCCCGAAGTGGGACATTTTGGTGTATCTCTTGGACGTGCTGCAGTCTTGGACATCGTGAGGGTCGAAACGATAAACTTCTATTCTCATTCTATTACCCAAAGATCCATTTGACGGGTCATTTCCTCTTACAAACAAACAACCGCCAAACACTTTTTACAACTCTACATGGTTGTCACCACCAGGAGAGCGGAGCACGCCAGGGCCATGACGCCAGAAGGACACGTACAGACAGTACAACAAGCTCCCGTCCATCCATGCATTCAGCCCCAGCAGAGCGGGCCGCTAGAGAAGTCCAACCTCCGGTAATTCAGAGGAGGGAGGCACGTAGAAGAAGAGGACTCCGCAACCATCAAGCATAGAGTAATTAATATGATCTCTAGAGGTTTAAGCGGCGGGGGTGAAACGTCTAACTCCAAGAAAAACACCTAAAACAATGCCTGGCGATTGCAGGAAAGGTGATCAGCAAAGAGAAAGGGTACCCTGGCCCAGCCAGGCCAAACATAGTTTGGGACAGTAGCGAGTTGGGGGACGTTCTCCCCGGGCACGACGACCCACTCGTCATCCAAGCAATAATCGCCAACTATGGCGTCAACCGTGTATTTGTTGACCACGGCAGCTCAGCCGATATTTTATTCTTGCCATGTCTCAAAGCATTAGGGTTCACAATTAACGATTTGACTCATGTCGCAGGTGAACTTTCAGGTTTCAATGCTACCACCACGAAGCCTTTGGGGGTGATAAGTTTGCGTCTCTCGCTTGGAACGCCGCCAACTTCACGATCTGCAGATATCCAATTCCTAGTGTTGGATACACCATCTGCTTACAACGCCATCCTAGGCAGAAAGATGTTTGCAGCCTTTGAGGCGAGCATCTCCCACCCCCACCTGGCAATGAAGTTCATAGCCAGAGATAATAACATAGCTACTATAAGAGGAGATCAAATTGTTTCCCGAAGTTGTTACAATATTTCTCTGCGGCCAATGGCAAAGGTTACCTTCAAAAAAGAAGCGACACCCCAGCAGGAGACATCCCCAGTGGAAGGAGATCCCGACGGAAGGAGGAACGAGGACAATCAGTGCTTCTTGGTGGATTTTGACGCCAGAAATGACCCTAGAGTTGAGCACGCCAGACCCACGCCTGACGGAGCGTTAGAACACGTGGTGTTGGGCGAGGAGCATCACCAGACGACAACAATCGGGGCAACAATCAAACCCGAAGTAAAAAGAAGTTGATACAGTTGTTAAAAGCAAACAAAGATTTGTTCGCTTGGAAACCGTATGATATGCCAGGTATCGACCCAAACATATGCTGCCACCGTTTGTCGGCAGACCCTAAAGCAAAACCAGTTGCGCAAAAGAAGAGGAAGTTTGGCTTGGACCGCCAGAAGGTCATTGATGAAGAAATCAAAAGACTCCACGACGCCGGGTTCATCAGGGAAATCAAGTACACAACTTGGTTGTCCAATCCAGTATTAGTAAAAAAATCAAACTGCGTGTGGAGAATGTGCGTTGACTACACAGATCTTAACAAGGTCTTCCCCAAGGACGCCTATCCTTTCCCAAGCATCGACCAGCTCGTTGACAACGCCTCAGGTTTCCAGATGTTGTCCTTCGTGGACGCTTATTCAGGCTATAATCAGATTCCGTTGTTAGAAGAAGATCAAGAAAAAACGGCGTTCATTACTCAGAACGCCAATTATTGTTACACGATGATGCCTTTCGGGTTGAAAAATGCGGGCGCCACATATCAGAGGATGATGAACGAGGTATTCAGGGACTTGATTGGCAATTGTATAGAAGTTTACATTGATGACATGATAGCCAAATCAAAAACGGCAGACCAACATTTAGCAGATCTCCAAAGTGTTTTCCAAAGACTGCGAAAATTTAACATGCGCCTCAACCCCAGCAAGTGCGCTTTTGGTGTCCCAGCGGGAAAATTCCTTGGCTTCATGCTCACGGAGCGAGGCATAGAGGTCAACCCAGACAAGTGCAAGGCGGTCATTGAAATGCGAAGCCCGCAGACAATCAAAGAAGTTCAGCAGCTAACTGGAAGGTTGGTGGCCCTCGCCCGTTTTTTGGCAAACTCAGCACATAAGTCCCTCCCCCTTTTCGGGTTGTTAAAAAAGGGGACCGCCTTTCGGGGGTCAGAAGAATGCGAGGGCGCCTTTCAGTAGTTCAAAAGGGCTCTCTCATGCCCACCAGTACTTTCCAAACCCGAGCACAGAGAAATGCTATACTTATACCTCGCCGTCGGATCAGAGGCAATCAGCGCGGCCCTAGTCAAGGAGTCAACAGAAGGACAAAAGCCTGTCTATTTTATCAGCAAAGTCTTACAAGGAGCGGAGCTCCGGTACCAGCAAGTCGAGAAGGTAGCATTAACACTCATTTTTGCTGCAAGGCGTTTAAGGCCGTACTTCCAGTGCCACCCAATCACTGTCAGAACAAACCAGCCAATTCGACAAGTGTTGCATAAGCCAGACCTCGTCGGAAGAATGATGTCGTGGGCGATAGAACTATCAGAATACCAGATCGCCTACGAACCAAGAACGGCTATTAAGGCCCAAGCCTTGACAGATTTCATCGCTGAAATGACTCCAAACCCCCATCCGGAGAAGTATGCAACTGAAACGCCTACAGCTGGTAACTGGAAATTATACGTTGATGGCTCTTCGAACGCCAAAGGATCGGGCGCTGGGATGATAGTCGAGAACCCAGATGGCGTAGCACTCGAACATTCTCTGACCTTTGACTTCAACGCTACGAACAATCAGGCAGAATATGAGGCCATAATAGCAGGACTGCTCCAAGCAAAAGAAATGGGCGCCAGATGCCTTAAAGTCTTCACAGATTCTCAACTGGTAGCTTTCCAGATCTCAGGCGAATACCAAACCAAGGGACCATTAATGTGCAGGTACTTGGAGAAGGTAAAAGAGTTGATTGAAAGTTTTGAAGCTGTTGAAATAGAGCATATAAGGCGATATGAAAATACACGAGCGGATATCCTCGCCAAGTTGGCAAGCACCAAAAGCCCAGGGAACAACAGATCGGTAATCCAGCACAACATGCCAAGCCCGTGCATCGTAATGAGCATTTCTAACCACCCAGGGGACGCCACTGAGGAAACCTGGGCAACGCCTATCATCAACTACTTGGCCGAATGGGTGTTACCCTCGGATAGGAGTGAAAGTCAAAAGCTAATACGGCGGTGCGCACATTTCTGCCTAGTAAAGGGATGTTTATACAAGCGGGGGACCTCTACCCCACTCCTGAAGTGTTTGAACCCTAATGACGTCCAGTACGTAATTGAAGAAATTCATGAAGGTATCAACGGCCATCACATAGGCGGTCACTCACTGGTAAAGAAGGCGTTAAGAGCAGGGTTTTACTGGCCAACCATGGAATGTGATGCTCATGAGCATGTAAAGAAATGCGAAAAGTGCCAAAGATTTGCTGACATACACAGAGCACCACCCGAAGAATTAGCATCGATCACATCTCCATGGCCGTTCTACAAGTGGGGAATTGACATCCTCGGGCCTTTCCCTAAGGCGGCTGGGCAAATCCAGTGGTTGATCGTCGCCATTGACTACTTCACCAAATGGGTAGAGGCAGAACCCTTAGTTACTATCACGTCCCAAAAAGAAAGAAGGTTCTTCTGGAGAAGCATTGTCTACCGATTTGGTATCCCGGGGGATGTCATCATTGATAACGGCACTCAATTTACTGACGCCAAGTTCCGAGCATTGATGAACAGTCTACAGATTAGACATCACTTTACCGCTGTAGAACACCCTCAATCCAACGGCTTGGTAGAATCTACAAACAAAATGTTGGGGAAAGGAATCAAGAAGAGGTTGGAAACCCACAAAGGAGCATGGTTGGAAAATCTAGACAACGTCCTATGGGGGTACAGAACTACCGCCCAGTCCTCCACCAGAGAAACGCCTTTCAGGCTGACATACGGTTCCGAAGCCATGATATCAGTGGAGATAGGCGAGCCTTCATGGCGACTTGAGCACGTGACAGAGGTCATCAACAACCAGCACTTGAAAGAAGCGTTGGCCTGCTGGACGAAGTAAGAATACACGCCGTCCACAATGATCGCCAGACAAAAGAAAGATCAGCCACTTGTTACAACAAGAAAGTGATTCCACGAATTTTCGAAGAGAAGGATTTGGTTCTCAGAAGAGCAGATATCGGAAACAAGAACGCCCGGGAAGGGAAGCTCGCCGCTAATTGGGAAGGTCCCTACCGTATAACAAACAAGCTGGGAAGAGGAGCATACTCACTTGAGACGTTGGATGCAAAGGCGATCCCAAGGGCGTGGAACGCGGACAAGCTCAAAAAGTACTATAGTTAAAATACCATGTAATTTCACCTGCACTCTTTTCCTTCCCTACGTTTTTGTCCCAATGGGTTTTACTAGGGAAGGTTTTTAATGAGGCAGGGTCCCACATTTTCAATAAGAAGCAAACATTAGCCGCTTATATTGTTAGATTAATCAACAAGCGAGATGGTTCTTACCCTCGCCGCAGTTGGACTGGGTTGGTCCTCACCCCCAGCCAACGCCCAACAAGCGAGATGGTTCTCACCCTCGCCGCAGTTGGACTGGGATGGTCCTCACCCCCAGCCAACGCCCAACAAACGAGATGGTTCTCACCCTCGCCGCAGTTGGACTGGGATGGTCCTCACCCCCAGCCAACGCCCAACAAGCGAGATGGTTCTCACCTTTGCCGCTGTTGGACTGGGATGGTCCTCACCCCCAGCCAACACCCAACAAGCGAGATGGTTCTCACCCTCACCGCAGGTGGACTGGGATGGTCCTCACCCCCAGCTAACGCCCAACAAGCGAGATGGTTCTCACCCTCGCCGCAGTTGGACTGGGATGGTCCTCACCCCCAGCCAACGTCCAACAAGCGGGATGGTTCTCACCCTCGC